CTGAGTGCTAAGGTGCCTGAAAATACCATCCAACCCACCTGATGGGAGCACTGGAGATCTACCATCAACCACTAAGATCAATTTACTGCCTATGGAGTCATTCCCAGATCTGAGCTCTCTTTGGGCAAATATGGGAACAGGGAAGTTTAAAAAGAGGCACAGATTAGACAAAGTGATCTAACAGACCTTCTGTCATTGAAGAAACCCTGAACCCTGTTATTCAGAAACTCATGAACTTACAAATACAATTGTTGAAGTGGATGGTTTGAACCAAAAGCCAACTTCAGTTCTTCTAATTAAAGAGAGGAGCTCAGGCACCCCAGTTCCCAGCCCAGGCCTCAATTCTTTACCTCATTTCCAGCAGAAAAATCTGACAAAGGAAAAGTATTACCAGGAAACAGGTTATTTACTTAACCAAATCAAACATATTGGACTGGCAGGGCAGCTGTAGCTCCAAGCTGGCATGTGTCTGTGGCAGAACACAGCATTTTGCAAAAAGTTCTTCACTGGCCTGTGTGTAATTTGGTTTTTGGTGCTTGACCCCAAGCAGAAGCAACCTTAGACTTTGGATTCCACAGACTTGTACAAAAACCTCCACCCTACAGTGTCCTTCACCAACTGCCAAATTAAATTGCTTTCTGTCAGGAATTACCCTTCTTGGAGGATTTCTGACCAACTGCAATACTGAGAATATAATTTTTGTTCCCTTAATTTGCACATAATCTAGAAAGGAAAAGCTGAAGAGGCAAACAGTAATCTCTGATATACAGCAGAAATAGCAGCAAAAGGCATCATAAAGCCTCTGAAAAACATGCTGGCACATTACTAGAGAAAGAAGACAGAAGAATCACATCACACCCAGCTCACCTTGACAAGGCTGACAATAAAATCAGTAAAACAAACAAACAAAAAAAAAGGAAGGAAGAAAAGTCAGAACAAGATAGCTTTGTTTTCTCATCACTCATTCTAAAAGTTCCATTGATTTTCTACTAACATATTAACTCCATAAGGACAAAGAAAAGCAGTTGGTATGAGCAGAGGGAATCAAATAAATCAATAACAGAGGGACCTACGTGTTCCCTGCTGCAGGAAGGAGCTCTCTTGGCACAAAGCACCCAAAAAATGGTGTCTTTCCCAGGATTTGGCAACCATTTAAAGGCTATTCCAAAATGACTGCAATTATATTTCCAATTTCAGTTGTTGGCCTAGTCATCTCCTCATTGCAACTCTGCCACTAAAAGCATTTGGATTGTCTTAATACTGCCCAAAAGAAAAGAGAAACTGCAGCAAATTATGCAGCAGCTTCATGCCATCTAAAGCTCCTCTAAAGAGGATCTCTAAGCAAGCATCTGAATGATACTTGGTTAAGTAGCTGTTAAACTGTAACTATGCTACATTTACAGAACTTTACAAAAATGCAGTATTTAAAGGAATACAAAAAAAGATTATATTTTCCTCTCACTGAAGTATGGAAAGTGGAATGTTCTCTGCTGGAAGTGAAACGGTGGGCGTTTGATGGCATATTTTAAATAGTATTCTTCTTTGCGCATGCAGTGTAATGCCACCCAAGGGGGAGATTAAAAAAAAAGTCTGCAATTTGCAAGTCCATTTCAAAGTCATATTGAGGATGATGTGAAATTCAGGATAGGATTCTTGAGAAGAATCTCCCTGGAAAATGTCTGTGTACCTCAGGGAAGCTTCGGATTTGCTTCCCCACACTGGAAGGCTGTTCTGTCTTTTGACATTTCAATGTTGTTTACAGTTTGCATCTAATTTTGGAATTATTCTGTGGTTTATGACAATGCTGTATCTTTGACTAGCAATAAGGTACTTCTGTTCTGCATCCTTCATGATTTCTAAAACTCTCAGGCTTTTTGCCTTGGAAGTTTACCTTGATAAGGTAAAAGGAAGTTTACCTTTTTGCCTTGATAGTGGGGGTAGAACAGTTACTTTTACAACAAGGGATTCCTGCTGCTGACAGATACTACAGGGGAAACTGGCATTTACACACCTTGGCCATGAGAAAAACAGGATTGTCCACTCCAGTCTGGTAATTTTGAAACAACTGCAAACAATATCATGCTTTAAGGCTTTAGGCAGTGATCAGCAGGTGTAGGAGGGAATACTCTCCTTTAACAGACTTCTGGCTGAACAGGTTTACTCTTTCCTCTGTGTTGCATTCCCTAAAGCATTACAGACTGGGCACAGCTGGATCTGGAGAAAGGGAAAGAACTTTCCTGAGGTCAGATTCTCTTCCTTAGCTGCCCAAGCAAGTGGATGTTTAGATTCAGATTCATCACCACATCTGATGCCAGAATCCTCCCTGGAAGGAGGAGCACGGATGGCTTCTGTCTTCACTTGCAGTGCACAACATAACTTGGTTATCCAGGTAAGCAAGCACCTGGATCTTGCCATCACATCCCACCCACCAAAAGGGTTAAGAGTACCAGTGATACCATCCTTCCTTTCTTCCATGGCCACAACAATTTGTACTGCACAAGACCAAATGCTTCAGTACCACACTGAAGTCATTAGATCTAATCTAGCACAGCACTCAAATGAAAGGAAAAGCAACCACAGCATATACTCAAGGCTCTTTCTCTTCCCTTTAAATCCTAATTAGTTTAATTTCACTAAATGTTTGCCATACAGAAGTTAGACATGTCTCCTTACTTAGTCCTCTGTGCTCCTCTGTGTTAATTCTCCAAATCCCTACGCTCAATTTGTCTCACACAAGGAAAGCCATGACAACTAACTTGGACAAGAAACTTACAGTTTTTATCCAGCTCAAAGCAGAGATCTTGGAAAATTATTAAACCATACAAGAAAAAAAAGGTCTCAAGTATTTTATGCTGGTACTTACCTCTCCACTGTTTTCAGGTCAAAGAAAACAGTGACAAAGCTCTTGTGAGGTATCTAATCCAAGACACTGAGCTGAGCCCCTCCACCAGCAAGGCACTGGCACAGCTGTGTTCCCTTCCCTCTGCAGCATCAAGTGGGTTTTGTTACTGGTATGAATGACAGACTCAAATCTGCCTGTACCCTGAGTCTGGTTTGTCCAGTTAAATGAAAATAAAAATGTGTGTTGCACTACAATCAGATGACAAAAGGCTGGGTTGCTTTTCTTTTAAAAAACCAACTCAATAGCATCCTCCAAACATGTGAGAGACAGAAGCCACAGTCAGACTATTATTCTGCACTTTGATCAATGCAACTTTGCAAATTCCTTATGCCAACACTTCTCTTTTAAACTGCTATTGGGTGAGATTATTAGAACAAAACCAGAAAACAATGATCACAGTTTATGCTCCTAGTTTTTGCAAATGACAGGCTACGGTTTAGCCTGTGTAATAAACTATAATCAATAATCTTGCCACTTCTGCAATAATGCAAAAGCATTATATAGATTTTATCCACATTGCTTAGTCTAAAAATAAACATGTACAAATTAAATAGGATACATCATATATATAAACATGATTCATTTATGAAAAGCAATTATTTGTGCTGAGAATAGCTAAAGTCCAGTTTGGAGCTAACCAAATAATTAAGAAGAAAGACAAAACAACATAAGCTTAATTATTATTATTTTAACATGTTAAAAATACAGTCACATCAAAATAGGGTACACAGTTATAAAACTGTTGCAGATGAAATAAGAAAATAGTGTGTATATATTTTATATATAAAAATCTACAGTATTTACTAATGCTGATACATATTTTTGAGCCTCAAGTTGTTTGCACAAATAAATTGTACAGCTTTGTTATGAATTACAGAACCATCATTAAACACTGAGATTATTACACTTAGCCACAATATTATATACATACATTTCCAAGCTGCTGTAAGCAATCAAAACTAAAGTAAGCCCAAGTCATATTTATCTTCACAATTTTAGTTTAGGATTTCAGTGTAGTGCTTGGCTACAGTTACTTCGCTGCAGTTTGCAATTTTTAAAATATAAAATTGCCCAGTTATTAAAAATTACATCAGACACGTTATATACACAAAAAAAATGTTTTGAAACATACTAAGTAAATGTTACTTCCATTTGTAAAAATTGTTTTACTTCTGTACCTTAAAACTTACAGAGCCAACCTGCAGCAATAATAGGCACTAAAGCTCATTCTTTAAAGGAAAAAAAAAATATCCATTTCTATGTTTTCAGTTAACAAACCTTACAAAACAAGAGGGAACAGGACAACCTTCCCAACTGGTGTTGATACCAATGTTCAGTACTTCAGTATTAGAGAAATCTCTCTGTTCAGCACTCCAAGGAGCTCTCCTGGTGAGCCCCTCCTCTGCCTCAGCTCCTGGGCAGAGGTCAGAGCGTCCTGCAGCTCCATCCTCCATGTGCCACTCCATCCACCTGCTTCTAATCCCACCCCAATTCACAGTCAAAACAGAAAGGAAAACACAAAGGGGGAAAGGCTGCAAAGACTAATCAGGATTACTTACATCAGCAGGAGTTTAAGGTTCCTGTTAGCAACAGTCAGGGTCATTTTAGTGTAGAACACCGTGCAGTGTGAGCCTGACAGCACACGCCCCACCTCAGACAGGACACCACCAGCAATTTGGGGGGGAAAAGGGCAAAACACAACAAAATCCACTCAACAAGGGACACTGCATACTCACACAGCCCAGGGAATGTCAAGCTTGGAGCAAAGCTCAAACTCCTGCGTGCACTTCACAGAGGTGTCAACGAGCTGTGCAATCCTCTGATACCTGTGAGATTTGGCCCTGCAACCAGTTTGAGTCTGACAGCACAGCGTGGCAAAAAGTGAAGGGTGCAGCACCATTTCTGTATCTGGTGTTAGGCTCACTGTGCTCCAGTCTTTTGCATATAGAACAACATTCTGAAGGTAGGTTTGGGTGAGAAGGTACAAATTCTCCATTTTTGATGCACTTAAAAAACTCCTATACACTGCCCTGAATTTAAGCACCATTTCTTAGCCAGATTAGAGAGACATTTTTGGCTATCTGCTTTTTCCTGCCTGCTCCTTCCTGCTAAGGAAAATGACAAACAGTAGTCAAAGGAGACGAAATTAACTCTCACATATGATTAAATTAATAATCCCAAAGCATCTCTCCTGCCCAGAACAGATACTGGGATGCTGAGGCAGCTGTATAAAAATGACAGAAATTCCCATTCAAAATGAATGGCTTCTCAAATAAATTACAAAGAAAACTTAATATGAAATAAAAGTACTTCACAAGCTTTGCCCAAAGTTAAATGCATTTAAATTTAAACTCTTTAGCTCTTTTCCACATGAGTTTGTGTACTGTAAGTGCACACTCACACAGGCACACACGCACACATCTGTACAGTGCATTAACAATGTCAGTCAAAACTTTTCAGTGTGTTACAGGTTTTAGGCAGAAGGATTGTAACACGAGTTATTTAAAATGTAAGGAGCGATGACAGCATGAACCACGTGATGGATATGAGCTTATTGCTATGTCTATGTGCATTAGATCACTTCCAGTAGCTTCCATGCAAGTCCAAGAACTCCACCAGCTTTCAAGCAAAGTCTGAAACATCTCTGAAAAAGTGTCGTTATTTTTGAACTCACACGAACCATCCACATTTCAGAGAACTGAGGAGGACTACTACTAACACAGTACTGTTCAACTGGTTTTGGTTCTTGCCACTTTACTAAGCACAGCCAGATTCTCAGAGAAGCACAGACTCATGCACAGACTCATGCACAGTCAGATGCACGGACAATCCATCAGTTCTGCTCCGATAGTGCTGGCCTTGAGCTGACGCGCTGCCATACTGGTACTGTGGGGAGCCATTCTCTTCCAAGGCTGGGGAAGTCCTGTACCTCACTGGACTATCCACAGGAACAGCAGGAAGACTGTGCTCATGTAGAGGTGTTTGCTGGAAATGCTGGTATTTCTGGAAATGATCCAAGTGGCCTCTGTTCAGCTCTTGGCCCCAGGGCTGCCTGTAGGGCTCGTGTCTGTAGGCGTAGGCGGCGTCCGGCCACTTCCTCTCCTCTGGTAAATAATCTGCTGGGGGGATGATGAACCTGACACCTGGGGAGGACCTCGAGTTGCTGGTGTAGGCATCAACAGGAGCCACTTCTGTCTGGGCAGGGGCTGCTGGAAGAGCATTTTGGCGACTGGCAGGATAGGAATTCATCTGCAGTTTATTTGGGGAATAATCTACTGGCATAAAAGGAGGGTATGGCCGTCCAGAGGGGCTGGGCCGATTCCCGTGGTGATGCAGAGGGGCAGAGCTTGCATTGCCTATACTGGAAACATGCTTTGGAGAATTCCCATAGTAAGTAGGGGGATTACTATAACCTGGCAGTGGCTGCTTTACATTCAGTCCATGAGATGGACCATCACACTGAGATGCATATTTTGGAGATCTGGGTTGTGAAGTGAAGGTGTAATTGTTGGGTATTTTTAATGGAGCTGGTGCTTTTTCCATTTGCTTTCTTGGACTATTAGAAAATGCTACATGCCTAGGACTTTGTGGATGAGCTCTCTCAAGCATCTCTTCAACAACATTCTCATTCTCAGTTTCATCCTCTGAAACATTGTCATACTGAGATGCATTAGACCCTCGCTTACCTTCATCAGCATCCAAAACCCTCACCTTTTGCTTTACATTCAAAGGCTGCATTTCTCCAGGACTTGGTGGTGGGCCCAAACCAGAATGGTTTACTGGCCTCCCTTTCACCTCTGCAGTGAGTTTCATTGTCTTTTCCATTATTTTGACATCAGATGGTTTATTCCACTTAGGTACAAATTCCCTTCTTGTGTTGGAAGTAGCATTAGAATTCTGATTAGCAGCTGCATTATTGTATAGACTTGAGTTGTCTTGCTCTGCTGGCTGAGGCTTTTTTCTGGTATCCACCTCATTCTTAGGCAAACTGTTTTGTGTCTCTGCTGGTCGAATCTTTTGCAGTTTTAAGGAAGGTTTCTTTTCCACAGAATTAATTCTTTTTCGGTTATTTGGTGAACTTTCTGATTCTTCTTCTGTGGATGGTCTTCTCTCTGTCCTTTGTCTTGCTGCTTGTGTCCCAGTACTGTTCTGTCCATTAAGCATTGGAGTGGAGTTAAGCACAGAAGGCAGAGGTCCTGATGGAATCTGCCCCAGTGGCTTCTTTGGAAATTCATCTTCTTTACCTAAAACAAGAACAGGAATAACATAAATTCACATTTGTGCAGAAGCCTGCTTTGATCTGTTTGTCATGCAAGCACAAATAGCTGGAAATTAACTGGGCTTCTCTCTGGGTCACCATTCTGCTGAACACCTCAAAGGTTTTTCTGTACACTGACATCAAACACAGATTTTCTTCAGCCTCTAATCCCAACCAGTTATTCCTTCCTACAGCTGATGCAATCTCTCCAAGCTTTTGCTCTATCATGACACTGCTGAGAATGCCTAGATGGCATTTTCCATACTCTGTATGGAACCCTCACATTGTTACATTAAGCAAACTACTTTATCCACTTTAAAAATCCTTCCCAATATCACTCTCCAATTTGATTGTTTTCCATTCATTCATCCTCTAATGTTCACCTCTAGCAAACCACACCACCAGCTCTTCCCTCACATGCACAAGGCTCCCAGATGACATCTTTGAACTGTCTCTCATTTCAATTTTTGGGTGAAGCTCCTCATTAACACAATTAAGACTTTGTTCCCCTTAAACCCTTTCCTGCCTGGAAATTTCATCCTCAGTATGAAAAGCCTCCATAAAAGGCTCTATTCACAGAATCTTTTTTCCAGTTCAGCTTTTTATCAATACAGAACAACTGAAGCAGCTGACACCAATCCTGGCTACGTCATGGTGTCAATTGAGTGTTCCATGGGTGGATTTTGCAGGACACAAGGACATCATTTACAGAACAAGGACACGAATGGAAAGTTCTCCCAGACTGGAGCTCAACACATTGCCAGTGGTAAACATCAACAGTGTGGGGACCCAGAGCAACCCACAGTGACATACAGAAACAATGAAGAAGTGTTTAATGGCTCAATGCTGCTCACAGAACAATTCACATCAAATTTTCTACTGCAATCCTTCTCCTTAGCAGTCAATGCCCTCCATAATCACAGCTAAAGTATTTTATCATATCTACTTGCATATAACTTATTTAATTGTGTAATCCATTACTTTCCCATTATAAGAAGAAAAGGTCATGCACTTCTCATTAAATGTATTGATCTAGATTTAATTCATTTGATGTTCAGCATTAAAAAAAAAACACAATAGTTTTAAAGTCAGCATTACCAAACAAGTCCTATTCACTGTGTATCTATTTTTAAACAGAAGCTTTGTTGTAAGGAGGAAAACAGAAATGGCTATCCTTGCTTAAATGCTATGCAAAACAAATTATATAAAATGGCTGTTGGCAAAATAATTTTGTCCAATCCCTGCTTCTTCTTAAGGCAAGGACTGTAGAATCTCTTCCCATCAGAGATCAGAGTTAGCACCTCACTTTCTAGCTATTTGTAATTTCTTTTTGTTTGTCTATAAGGCTTCACAGGAGTGAATACACACAACTTCTCTCCCTGACAAGGGCTGTAGTCACAAGTGAGCTATGTTCATTTACACAGGCATGAGCAGGAGCTCAATCTTTGGTGAGTGGCTCCTGATACAGACACACTGAGGAAAGCCAGCAGCCAAGGTGACTGCTATTTGTTATAACAGTGAACAAACTACCAGCACGGATCAGTGGCTGTATAAACAAAAGGAAAACTGAGTTTGAGCCAGACAGGAGGACAGCAAAGAAGAACACAATGGTGCCATCACAACAAAATAACTAAATAAATCACTTAATAGAAACAGCTTAGCTTTGCCAAACAATTAAGTAGTGTTTTCTTGATTTTTCTTTGTGAGGGCCAAAGGTCATATGGAAACCTAAAACCTACCCTTTCCTTCAGAAATAACTTCAGAAACCTCACTTCACATACAGCAAACAGTGGGGGCAGGCCTCAGCACTAGGCTCCAGTGAGTGGCTCTTGGAATTCCAAGTCTGATGTTTGGTCTCTTTCCATATGGGCCCCCACTATTCCCAAATAAAATCTGGAACAGGGCTCTCAGACCCGCACCCCCCAGCAAGGGAGTGTTCCACCACTGGAAGAACAGATGAGGGACAAAGGAAGGAGTTGCATGGATGCTGTAAAAAAGGTGATTTAACAGCTCTGAAATACACTGGCTGCTGCAACAGCCTCTCCAAAATTGTCCTTCAGTCTTTATGAATAGGAGTCCACTTTCTGAACTTGCTTCTGGTTTGGCAAGAGGCATTTGTATCATTTAATTCCATCTGCATCTTCAAATACACCATTAGGCAAAGCTGAAGATCTTGTCTCCTAAATAAAAGTGAATTTTGCACATAATAAATATTCCTGCTACTTAAACCATAGATTGCAGTGCTTTCAGTCTTACTAATCTTGAATGTGAAAATAGCATGAAATCTTCATTAAGAAACAATACTTTGGTACATACAAAATACACACTAAAAATCTGCTATATAAATCATACAGAACTAATCTTTATGGGCTGCTAATCCATTTACAGCCACCAGGAGATCCAAAGTAGTTATGGAATAGCACAAGAAAATGGTTCTGCAGCATTGCTAAATTATTTAATTTCTGTCCTTGTACAGAAAACATGTTTTAGAAAAAGTGTTTACTTTCTTCCACACTTTAAGTTAAAATATTCTAGTCACATATATAAAAACCTGAAGACCAGTTCCTCTGGTAGCTGCAATGCTTCCTTCATTTGCCCACGGTCATCAAAAACATGAACTGATTTATTTTCTCACAGCTTTTGCTCTAAGAAATGTCTACAGAGCAATAGGAGATCCTTAAATATCCCAGGTTGCACTATAAAGGTGGGGTTTGTGTGAGGTTTTGGTTTTTAATTTCACACACTTAAGGTTTCCTAATTACCATTAAGCTCTAATAAACCCAAGTGAGAATACTGCAGACATTTTTATTGAATTCTATCAAGGCTGCTTTGTGTCACCTTTCATTTCAGGGTAAAGGAACACTCTACAGCTGCATGGTCTGGATGATGTGTCCTGTAACATGGATCACAGCTGTAACATGACTATCAGAGAAATCTTGCCATGTCTGTAGTGAAATTGTTGGAATTCAACATTAATTCACATCCTGAGTAACAAGGAAAATGTTGCAAGAGAATAATTCACCTAGAAGAAAACCTCTGCATTTTAACAGCACAATCCTGTGTTTATAGGCTGGTAACACCAGAGCTCAGTGCTGTCAGGGAAAACAAAATACAGAACAATGGAAAAAGGCTCAGTGGGGAAAAGAAGAAATACAGGTTAAACCTCAGCCACAGGACTTGCAAAAAACTTGGTTTGACTTGACCTTGGATGCCAACAAGGGGCACTGGTTGCTCAGTCACCCACATCTGCCTGTGGAAACGAGCAAGGCCACAATGCTGGAGGCACCAAACCAAGGCTACCAGGACAGCCTTGCTCTGGTTCAGAGGTGCTCCAGCACTGATCACCTCCAGCCATGAAAAGCACTGAGAGGAAAGGAATTGTGTAAGGATCTATGATGCTGCAGCAAAAAGGCATCTTGCAAGCCAATCACCTTCTAAAGGAAATTTTTTGAAACTGCAGAATGGCTGCTTAATCCTAATTGAAGTGTACAGATCATACATAAATACCTATATACACAGAGTTGCCACTTCCAGTGAAATAAGAAATTTTTTTTAAAAAAACAACAATCAAACAAATAAAAACTCCCAAAGTTCCAAAAAAAGTTCACAAAATGAACAAGTAGAGGATAACCAAATCACCACCATGCACATGACTGCAATGGGACACCTCAAATGCACAAAGAGCATGCCAACTGTGTCTGGGAATGCTTTAAGCAGTCCACTATCAGCAATAACAGCAAGAAACCCATGATGCTGCATGCTAGCAAGAAAGAAAGAAAAAAGGTAATAAAAGCAAAAAGCTGAGGATAAGAAAACATAATGCAAAAGCAAACAAAAGAAACCAAGGCACAACAAACATCTCTACCTGAAGAGGAACACAAACAGCTCACCAGACAAACATGCAGAAGCACCAATTCCTTCAAGCCCCATTTCTTTTATCTAACACTTTCCCACTCCAAATCTGCCTAAAGCCTCACACACAGCTCTCAACCATCTCCTGTAGTACTTCAGCTACACTCACTGTTCAAACTCCTCAGATTTGAGCAGGAAGAAATTTTAGTTGGATGTTTTAAAGGAAATTCAATTGAGTATCTGTTTGTGTTGCGGTTCCAAGATCTGAGTTAATTCACTGTCTGGACATATCTGTCTGACTGAGAAATGGAGAAACTGCCCAATTCTGTAAGAAGTACTTTTGGGACAAGTGCTTTTCTGTACAATCTGTGATGTTTACATACAAGAATTGAAAACATTTTAAAACCAGAAGTTAAGACAAAGCTGTCTAGGTTCAGCTGTGACTGTTTTGACCTGTACAATAATCAAAATGTCCCTTTGTCCTCTGAAGCAATCTGGGCAATGAGATTTTTCCCAAGCTGCCAGTATTCCTGTGAGATATGGATATCTCTACTTTCATCCTTCTTCCTTCCTTCAACAGAGTAGATTTCTAGACAGTTTAGTCACTGGCTTTTCCCAAAAACAAGCACTGTAATAGCTTGTATCAGTTTACAGACCAGCAACTGTAGATTTTCTATTTTTCCTTTAAATGAAAGGTAGTGATTTAGTTGGCTTCTGTGCAATATAGCATAAAATAAACAAACAACAAAGGAAACATGGTGAAAAATGGGTGAGGAAGGAGAGCAATGGAAGTAGAGGGAGACAACTTAAGCAAAACAAGAATAATCAGGTCCTTGCTTGCTGTTGGCAAACATATTCCCTGACATGAAAAGGAGCAAAGCAAATACAAGCAGATCTGACTGTTCCCCAAAAGATAAGAAAGATATTAAAGAAAGTTTGCCTCTCTTTACTTCCTCTGCTCAAACAAGCCTTGGCCACCACCCAGTGGAAGTGGATCTGCACTACAAGACTTTCAGAGATAATTGCTCCAGGAGGCACTAACAGCCTCGTGCAGCAGACATATAATTGGAGTAAAGTGCTTTAAGTGCTCTCTCTGGTGAATAACAGTCTAGGCCTTCATTTCAGCACCAGAAT